TTGTAATCTTCTCCAACATTGCTCACAGGGACTGTGTAAGCATTTGGGTAATAATTCACAAGGGCTGCACCTGCTGCTTCAGGCCCTGCAAGCTTCCAACTCCCCAGAGTTCAGAGTGGAACCAGCTGAGAAAGGCAGATGTCACATCCAGCTCCGGTCATGCTGTGTCATCCTGGCTTCCGGGTGTGGTCTTCCCAAGGGATCCATCAGCCCCTTTTAGCATCTTTCTCTCCAACAAGCATGATATGAGAGGACCAAAGCTCCCAGCCTCTGTCTAAGCTAAGACCCTGGCAGATATCTTCAAGAGAAAACAGTTCATGCCCAAGCAGGGGGAAACAGGAAGTCACCCCCTAAAAAATCCCTGGCCCCCAGGTTGTCTAGAGACCTGCACCGTGGTCCCCGGCCCCAGTCTGCTGTCATCCACGCTCTGAGACCTGGGCAAGCTTTCCTCTGGGCCTCTGCCTGGCTTCCCTCCCAGAGCTGGTGTAGGGCAGAAAGCACTGGTGAGTAGATGAGCTGCTTTGCAGTTCTTGGAGGGGCTGTTCTCTGTCTCCCCTCTGGTAATTCCGCTACATGGAGAACTTCCCCACCAACCGCTCACCCTCCTCCCTTCCAGAGCAGCCCTCGCAAGGAAGGCACTGTCTCTAAAGTCTGCCCTGACACCCTGCCTAGACTCCTTCCACCGTCTCCATTAAGCACTTGGAACACCTTGTACACTCCCTCCTTAGAGCTTGCTGATTATCATCACCCCTCTCGCTGCTGCCTCCATCTGCCTGGAGCCCACTGAGTCCTGTTCACCATTTATCCTGTGCCCACCACGCTGCTTGGCACCAAAATGGTAAATAAGGACTGGATGAATAACCAGATGAGTGAGTGAGTTAGTGAAGAAAGGAAGAAATGTGTGGATGAATGAATTATTAACTGTTCTACAATCTTACAATTTTTGGATAACTTACCTCAAATTTCCCTGGAGGGTTGGTGAGGTGGTTGTGTTGTTTTGTTTTTTGGTTTTTTTTTTTTTTCCAGCATCTGTAAAAAAAAAAAAAAAAAAAAAAAAAAAAAAGCCTGAATAGCTCGTAGCAGTTGTAAATTCCTGCAGCTTTTCCCTGGTGTGCTTCCAAAGGCTGAAAACAAGCGACACCCAGTCCTCCAGCTCCCTCCTCCTTCCCACCGCAACCCTCAACCCTCTCCCTCCTCACCCACTGTTTTCGTTTTCTAAACATTTTTTTTTAAAGTTTATTTTTTTTTTTAAGAGAAAGAGAGACAGAGAAAGTGAGGGGGAGGGGCTGAGAGTGGGAGACACAGAATCCTAAGCCGGCTCTGTGCTGTCAGCCCAAAGCCTGATGAGGGGCTTGAACTCCCAAACCGGGAGACCATGACCTAAGCCAAAGGTGGAGGCTCAACCGACTGAGCCACCCAGGCGCCCCCCTCCTCACCCTCTTTCTTTCTTTCTCCACAGCTCTGTCTCTGTCTCTCCCTTCACTCTCTCTCTGCCTCTGTCTCTCGGTCTCTCTGTCTCTGTCTCTCTCTCTCTCTCTCTCTCCCTCTCTCACATCCCCCACCCTTCCTCTCACCTCCCCATCCAGACCAGTCCCTATGCGGTGAGCACTCCCCACGTGTGCCAGCGCCTTGCAGCTGAGGCCCTCACTTTCCTTCCAGCCCACCTGGCCCTGCCTCACTTGTACTTCGTGCTTGAGAGCGTGGGCTTTGGAAATGGTCAGGTTCAGCTCTCCCTGGTCTCGTTCTTCCATGTACTGGTTGTGCAACCTTGGTCGAGGCACCTGACTAATCTCTCCGAGTCTTGGCTTCCTTACCAGCAAAATGAGGTAAAGATGCCCGGCTCAGATTAAATGAGATAATATTTGGAAGAGCTTCGCACACACAGTGGTAAATCACAGTAGACGCGGGCTCTCTTGTCACCATCCATCCTGCTGCAGTGACCACCTTTGCATCATCTGCAGACGCTGTTAGTGCCCGAAATCTTCAGAGAAGACGAGGAACACCTCTGGACTGAGTAGTCCCCCTCCCCAAGGATTGCATTTCAGACTCTTCCTCCCCCAAATCAGTGACCATCCATCTCTGACTCTCTGTTCTTTTGTGCCCACCTTAATTTGCCCAGAGAATCTGTGTGGATGCGGACATCCCCAAACCTGGCCTCCTCCAGAAATCACGTGAGGAGTTTTTAGCAGTCATGAGCCTCTGGAGGGGTAGTCCAGGAAATCCTGATTCTGTAGGTCAGGGGTGCCGCTCAGGAGTGGGTATCTGAAAACATCCGGAGTGACTGTTTGGAGACCAGGCACCCGAAATTCTGATCTAAATTGAATGCATGGGGGCGCCTGGGTGGCGCAGTCGGTTAAGCGTCCGACTTCAGCCAGGTCACGATCTCGCGGTCCGTGAGTTCGAGCCCCGCGTCGGGCTCTGGGCTGATGGCTCAGAGCCTGGAGCCTGTTTCCGATTCTGTGTCTCCCTCTCTCTCTGCCCCTCCCCCGTTCATGCTCTGTCTCTCTCTGTCCCAAAGATAAAATAAACGTTGAAAAAATAAAAATAAAAAAATAAAATAAATTGAATGCATGCTCACGGAACAATGAATGAGTGAATGAGCGAATGAGTGAATGAATGAATGGGTGCACTCCAAAGTATGGGCCCATTGGCTCTACAGCTTTTCAGAGCCAAAAACTGAGCTGCTTTATTTCCTGTGCTCTCCCCGGTCTCACTCCCAGCCCTTGCCCTGCCCTGGCGTGTATCTCTCCGTGCTCTTCCCACTTCCCCCCTCCCTTTCTAGTTTCCCACCTGACTCCCGTTAGCCCCTACTTTCCTCCTGTGCCCCCCTCAGCCATGCCCACGCCACCTCCCACTGCACCGTTTGCAAACTGGGGGCCTTTCCCCATCCCAAGACACTTGTGTGAGAAGAAGCTCTGGACACAAGAGTTACACAAAACAGATTTATTTAATGAACCTCAGTGACTAACAAAGTCAGAAAGTAGCAGAGACGTTATGAAGAAGAAGGGGCTGGTAGGGGATGGGGTAGCCTCCACCCTCTGTCCGGGGCCACCGATGAGTTCCAGGAAAGAGGTCTCTGGGGTCACCGAGGAGAGTCTCGGAAGCTTCCCTTCTGGAAGCTTCCTCCAGCCTTGACGGCATGCTTTGAGGACAGTGCTGGGCTGAGAAGGGAAGATTCTGGCCTGTGAGGGGGAGACTGAGCTGAGAGGAGTCTCTTCCTTTCTCCTCCTTCCTCTGCTCCCAGGGCTGGCGCCATCCCAGGGATGGTCAAGCTCTCCATTTACACCAAGCTGGGCTCTTCCTGCCTCCGTGGTGCAAATCTCATCCTTCACATCCCATCCGGAGTCCTCTGAGAACAAAACCTGGAATATACACACCCCTGCCCCTGGGCTCACAAAGGCCCCACCATCAATTTTGTCCTTGAGGCCTCTCTGGTGCCATGAAGTCATGCCCTCAGCCCTGCCGAGGGGCTCCTGTCCAGATGGTGAGATGAGAAAAAAACCCACCCAGTTCTTTTCACCCCAGGCAAGAGGGCAGCCTCCTTAGAGAGAGGGCCACAGACCTGGGAAAAGGCTAAACTCGAAGCAGGGTGGGGAGGTGTGGAAAAGGGGCCACGGGAAGCTCTTTACCACCTCCTGCTTCCCTCATGGAACTAGGAAGAATGGGACCCACCACATCGGGTTTCCCCAGGCCTTGGGCGCCACTGTCCTGGGGACAGATCTCCCCAGAGGGGCCCCAGCAGTAACATAGACTTCTCTCTTAAAGCACGGACCAGCCGTCAGAGCCCCCAAATCCAGTGGGGGGTGGACTCATTTTTACTCTATATTGCCTCAGTATGTCCCTCTCCCCCCAAGGATATTGTGTGAAGAGTGGAGGTGTGGTAGAGAGTAGGGGGTACTTCACCCAAGTGACAAATGACTTCATCTATGTACACACACACACACACACACACACACACACAACTCTTGGCACCAAGAAGCACCAGTGCTCAAGAAAAAAGCCTCCTGTCTGGGGATGACAGGGTGTAGGGGGGAGACGGGGATAAGACCTGCAACTCACAGCTCTGGAGGAGGCTGGAGGGGTGAGGAATCAGAGAGGGAAGCCAAGCAGCATATAGACTAAATACAGACTCCCTTCTTCCTCCATGCTCCCCTCCCAACCCCTCCCCCACTCATATAATGGAACAAGGAGCCGTCCCTTCATCAAATATGGTAGCCTTCCGACTGCCATGAAGAGACTAAGCGAGAGGGTCTGAGGAAATCTATAAAAAGCATATCTTGTTGGCATTGGGGAGGGGGACGCGGGAAGGGAGGCACCCGTCTGGGATAACCTAGTGCCCGAAAACACAGTGAACTGATCCAGTTTGGGGGAAAGTTCTGGAGCTCCCAGCTGCAGAGCCTGGAGTTAACTCTTGGCTGGCACCAGCCCTCCAGTCCCGTCCCTGCTGCTCTCTCCCCCTCCTGCACTCTCAGGGAACCAGACAGAGCTGCAGCAGGGGCCCTGTGTGCAAGCTTCAGGATTCTTAACCCTTAGGAGCCCTGCAGACCCGGGAGGTAAAAAGGGGAAGAAGGAGGGATTGAGGGAGGGGGTGTGCTGTGAGAGAGGTGGCTGGAGAGAATTCAGAACGGAAAGTGCAGAGAGAGGGGAAGCAGGGACAGGGACATGGGGAGAGAAAATTAGGGGAAAAGGAGGGGGAAGAAAAAGCTGGAGAGCCGTGAAAAGGGGTGGGGGCAACCCACGTCAGCTGAGCCAGCGTGACTTCCCCCATTTTATACAAATGGGGAAACCGAGGCTCAGAGAGGCCAAGAGACTGGTGCAAGGTCCATCTCACCGACACCGAGCGGCTTAGCAGGGGTCTGCAGGGCTCAGTCTCCTTCCACTAAACTACACACATCTGAACAAGACTGGAGGAGGAAGGACCACAGGGGCGGGCAGGGAGGCGGGCGGCAGGGAAGAGGGCCAAGTGCAAGGGAGAAGGTGCTATCATGCTACCTGACTTTCAGAGAGCGGGGGCAGAGGCCGGGGCAGGCGGAGGGCACCGGGCTCCCCTCCGACCGCAGCCCTAGTCCACCACCAGGGTCTCTTGGCTGTAGGGGATGGACTTCTCGAGCATCTGCTCCCCGCCCTTCCCCGAGTTGGGGCCGGGCCCCTGGCTGTGCCCGGAGGAGTAGCTGGCGGACTTCTCCCCGCTGCCGCTGTGGGCCGCAGCCCCGCACCGGCCCTGGCCCCAGCAGAGCACCGAGGCGCAGGCCTGGCGGAAGCGGGGGTCGAAGAAGGCGTAGAGAAAGGGGTTGAGGCAGCTGTTGACGTAGCTGACGCAGGTGCAGTAGGGGAAGACGTTCATGAGGAAGAGGTCGAAGTCGCAGGGCCAGCGCAGCAGGCCGCCCAGCGTGTAGAGCGTCTTCACCAGGTGGTAGGGCACCCAGCAGAGGGCGAAGGTCACCACCAGCACCACGATGATGCCGAGCAGCCGGCGCCGCTTCCGCAGGCCCTCGACGCGCTCCTTGCGGAAGTGGCCGGCGATGGTCTGGGCGATGAAGAAGTAGCAGGTCAGCATGACGGTGAAGGGCACCACGAAGCCCACGGCGGTGGACGAGACCCCCAGGCCCACCTCCCAGGCCCACTCGGAGCCGGAGGCGGCCACCACGGAGTAGTCCATGTAGCACTGCACCCTGGTGGTGTTCTCCAGGTCCCCGGTGGCGCGGAACACCATGACCGGCGCGGCCAGGAGGGCGGCCAGCACCCACAGGACGGCCGTGGCCGCGGCGCCGCTGACCCGCAGCCTCAGCCGAGCGTTGGCCACCGGCCTCACGATGGCCAGGTAGCGGTCGAAGCTGAGCCCGGTGAGGCAGAAGACGCTGGCGTACATGTTGACGAAGACGAGATAGCTGCTGAGCTTGCAAGCAAAGGTGCCGAAGGGCCAGTCGTAGTCCCGGTACGTGTAGGTGGCCCACAGCGGCAGGGTCACCACGAAAGTCAGGTCGGCCACTGCCAGGCTGGCGATGAAGACGTCGGCCGAGCGCCTCTTCTCGCGGCTGCTGCGGAACACGGTCCAGAGCACCAGGCCGTTGCCCGTGGTGCCCAGGAGGAAGACCAGCATGTAGATGGCGGGGATGAGGGCCCCCGAGGACTTCCAGTCCGTGTACTCGCACTCGGACTGGTTGTCTGCCCCGTAGTAGGTGTCAAAGTCGCCGGCCTCCTCCATGCTGGGCGGCGGAGAGAAGACGGGGCAGGGGCTCCCGCGGGTACCAGCTCCGTGGCTGCGGCCCCGACCCCGGCGGCCGCCCTGGGCTTCTGGCCCAAGCCTCAGGGGGCAGGCGAGAAGGGGCTGAGGGTGTCCAGAGCCCTTCCCGGCAAGCAGGAGAAGCTGCCTCCGGATTCTGGAGGGTGCCTGCCCCTGCAGACGTCCCTCCGCCCTCTCCTCGCCTTGCCCCAGCCTCAGCTAAGAGGCTTCCTTGCGCCCTCCTGAGTCTCTGTCTCCTCCTTGTCTGGTCACTCCCTCCTCCCACCCACCTCCAGACCCACCCCTCACTTGGGAGTCTTAAGATCTTTAAGTTACAGCCCACTTTTTTTTTTTGTTTTGTTTTTTTCCTCTTGTCCCCGGGCAAGTGGACCAAATTGAGCCCTGCCGAGCTGAGCTGGGCAGAATGTTATCTGAGGTTTGCAGCCTGCTCTACTCCCAGCCCCGCCTCCACCCTCTGGCTACCACCCACCTTCTCCCCAGCCTCTAGTCCCTGGTTTCCTCTGGCCTTTGGAGCACCCCTCCCCAACCCTCCCCACCTTCCTACTCTCACCCCCTCCCCTCCCCTCTAAATGGGACAAATTATGCAGATTGAAATCCAGCCGGAGCTGGAGCCAGGAAGGGGGGGAGGGGGGGGGGCGGGCAAGGAGGGTGTGAGATTTCGCAGGATGCTCTGAGCATCTGGCAAGCCCTCCTGGCAGGCAGGTCTGGCCCCCACCCTCCCCTCCTGCCCTCCCAGCCCCCACCCAGACCAGACTTCACTCCAGGGTCATCCTCCTTCACACCTCCACTTTGACCCTCCCTCTGGGAACTTTTGTTGTTTTACAGACACGGTTAAGGGGATTTCTCTAGAATTCATAATCTGTTAGCAGACTGCCGTTTGCAGATGGCATTGGAAGTTTCAGAGGGTGGAGGACAAAGTCCCGGAAGGAAGAAACCTCAGACAAAAGTCATGAAATCAAGTTGTTAAATCTGTGGGAAAACTGAGGCTTAACAAGGTAAATGTCTTACTCAAAGTCACAAGATGAATTTTGTTACAGTTCCATTGTTCGCTTTTCTTCTTCGTCTCCAAGCACCCGCAGCTCCTGCCATGTAGTAAGTGATCATTAAATGATTGTTGAGAGAAGCAATGTACAATGGACGAACTCGTGGGCGAGGGAAAAGAAGAACCCAGGTACATTTCAGTGTTCAGGTTCTTCCTGCCCTTTGGGGACCAGGTCTCTATTAGACCATGCAGCCAGAGACGGAGGCAGAGAAAGGGGTGGTCACTGAGGGGATGCTGTGGGCACAGTCCCATACAAATGCACTTTGCCCTGTCTGCTTGCCCTTCCAGGACCTCTGGGCAGGAAAGAGAGAAGGAGAGAAGGATGCACAAGATACGATTTAAAACTGTGCCCCGCAAGACTGGAGGAGTCCATCTCAGGTTGGGCAGGGATAAAACAAGACAAAATCAGGAGATCAGTCTTGGCCTCATCCAAAACAAAGGGCTTACCAAACAAGAATCCCTTGTCTCAAGGGAGGGTTGGTCAGAAAACCTTGCCGGGGCCTTAAAGTAGGGGCCCCCAACTCAAATACCCACAAGGACCCGGTGAAGAGTGTACATGTGCAAAAAAGCTATTGTGGGACAATAGGGAATGGTAGTCTGTGGCAAACCAGAGCAAGCACACCCCATCAAGAGGAGCCCTCCTAAGCTTCAGTCCCTGGTTGCCGTGCAGAAACATGGGACCCAACATTGCCAAGTGCTCTGATTTTCTACATAATTTTGAAATTCTGGATTTTATGAGAAATGTCCAGATTTGCAAATCTGGGAAATTCATCCCGTTAAAAAAAACAACAAAAACACAACAAAAACAAAGGGTGGGGCACCTGGGTGGCTCAGTCGGTTGAGTGACTGACTCTTGATTTCAGCTCAGGTCATGATTTCGCGGTTTGTGGGTTCGAGCCCCACGTAGGGCTCTGCCTGTCAGCACGGAGTCTGCTTGGGATTCTCTTTCTCCCTCTCTCTGCTGCTCTTCCATGTGCATGTGCTCTTTCTCTCTTTCTCTCTCTCAAAAGTAAGTAAACACTTAAAAATAAAAAAGCGAAGGTCACAACAAGTAAAGCTTGTCCTCTGCCACTCCCACTCTGTGCTCTTTGAACAGGAGCTTGCCAAAAATGTAAGGCAGAGGGCAACAGGGAGGATGGGCCAGGAACAAGAAACATCAAATGCAAAGACAGAGAAATGACAGCAAACACGGCCAAAGTCTCGGGGTGCAATGGGGAGACCCAGGGGAGATGGCGAGAGAGCAGGACAAGACAGACCCCGAGTCTTGGATGGAGAACTGGGTGTGTTTCTCCATATTCAGCACCTCCTCCCTGCCAGGAGCTCTTTAAACATGCTATGCGTTTAATATGTGTTTATTATCTCTTTCAATCAACACAACAGTGTTAGGAAGTAGGCACTGTCATTAATCTCAACTTACAGACTGGGAAACTGAGGCACAGGGAAGTGAGGTAACTTGGCCAAGGTCACTCAGCTAGGAATTGTCAGAGCCGGGATTTGAACCAAGGCTTGAGCACATGAACTAAAACCTCTTAAGTTCTCCTCCCCCTAAAAGAAAGAGAGAAGAGAAAAAGAAAACCCCAACCCTTTTCGAATTAGGGGTTTGTCATCTGCTGAGCATTATAGAAATGTGGAATAATGCCAGGATACCTGTCATTTACTTTAAAATAAGCTCTCAGTGGGGCACCTGGGTGGCTCAGTCCATTAAGCATCCAACTCTTTTTTTTTTTAATTTTTAAAAAAAATTTTTTAACATTTATTTATTTTGAGACAGAGAGAGACAGAGCATGAACGGGGGAGGGGCAGAGAGAGAGGGAGACACAGAATCGGAAGCAGGCTCCAGGCTCTGAGCCATCATCCCAGAGCCTGACGCAGAGCTCGAACTCACGGACCGCGAGATTGTGACCTGAGCTGAAATCAGACACTCAACCGACTGAGCCACCCAGGCGCCCCAAGCATCCAACTCTTGATCTTGGTTCAGGTCATAATCTCAATGTTCATGAGATCAAGTCCTGAGTTGGGCTCTGTGCTGACAGTAGGGAGCCTGTTTGGAATTTCCTCTCTCTCTCTCTCTCTCTCTCTCTCTCAAAATAAATAAACTTAAAAATATAAAAATAAAAGAAGCTCTCTGAGCAAAATTTTTAAAAGATGGACTAAAATATTTTAGAGATACTCTCCACTCCCCCACTCCCGTGGTTGAACAGGTTACAAGAACCCTGGCCAGACAATAGTCTGTACTGTACCTTAGGGATGGAACCATAGCTTGATCCAGAAACTGCTCTGTGGCCGGTCATTCCCAATAAAGACTCCTGGTCGCCTGAGGCCAGCAGGAAAGCTAACAGGACCCAGCATCTGGAATCTTGGCAGTCTGCAAAATGGCGGTCAGGACACCCAATACGACCCAGAGCGGGAGTTAGGTTGACCTCAGAGTACACAGGAGTTGGAACTGCTTAGGGCCTGCTTGCCCTGGCATGTTTGTCTAATAGAAGTCTGTGCAGGTGGACAAGCGGCTTTCATTCATCCGACAGTAAGCTTGGGTGAAAACATGTCAGATTACCCCAACCTTGACCTATCAAAAGGGACCTGAGGTGCACAGGAACCAGTTTGGCTCAGGTCAGGTCACGACTGACAGCACCTGTTATGAATACAAACAGCTGCTCAGAACACGCCAAGATAAAGGCCAAGTTCAAGACCCCCAGGTAATCCAAATCTTCTCTGGTTCTCCCAGAAAGACATAGGCACCTGGGCCCTTTGCAGCTAAGAACATAGAAGAAGGAGAGCCAGCGAGCTCAGAGTGTCCCCAAAATCATGTTTCTCCCCACGGCTATTCCCATTTGGATCGTGAGCCAGACAGAGACCCCGTGGGAGGGGACGTGGGTTCATCTCTTTAGGGCTCTGGTCTCCAGGCCCTGTACCTCTGAGGGGGTAAGAAGCGGTTAATGTCACCTGAGGAACCAGGCTAGTCAAAACGGGAGAGAATTGGGAGGCAAGACTAGGAGGGGGCCACTGATAGGGGGGCCAGAGTGGGTGAAGCGCAGAAAAGATCTGACCTCCAGCCAAAAGCTGGAGCTCCAGCTGGAACCAGGGGGCCTGAGTGCCCACAGCAATGACAGCCTGAAAGGAGGAGAATCAAGCTAGCGTCACACTCCTCACCCAGCCTGACACCTAAGGTCCCTGTCCGTGCAACATCGAGATGAAAGTTTAGTAAACAGAACCAGTAGCTGAAGCCTGACCTTCTGTGTCCCCAGGGCTCAGAAGCAATTCCTCACCAGACAGAGAGCACCTGGCCAGACCCCTGTTTTCATTTTGGTACCCACCCCCCTGCCCCCACTCCTCTCCTCAAGTGGGTGCCAGGTAAATGCCCGCTGAATTAAAGCTCTGGGAATGTATGCAGGAAAAGGATGGGAAAGACTGGGTCTTCTTCATTCCAGGGGCTGTTCTACTGCATTAACAAGGACATCTTTTTGCTAAGTTGCTCCAGAATAATCTGCCTTGAGTCATCTGGCAAACCAGCAGCGAGGGCACGGCCGTTGGCCAGTGTCCCCAGGGGCTGGCCTGCCCTGGAGAGGCCGACTGGTTTCCTGGGGGACTCGGCTCTCTCCTGGGTGATTTCTTCAGGGTATTGTGAGGGACTTGGCATGAAGGGCTCCAGGCAGAACAGCGCCCCAGGCCAGCTGCAGATCCCTTTGAGGAGAGCCCAGACTGCTGGGGGCCCTCTGGAGTCAGTGATTCAAAGCCCCGAGTTTGTTCCTGGCCTAGAAAGCAAGAGAGACTGGCTTGGCCCCAAGCCCGTGACTGTGTGTGGCTGTGTGCACAAACGGGAAGGGTTTGTGTGTGCCGTGGGGCCGCTTGTGAGCATACGGGACTTGCGTGCTCTTGGAGCACGAGTGTATATTGGGTGCGTGCATGTGTTCATGCGCCA